GTGGAATATCTATTTTAAAACATTGTTCTTGTGACTTCGTTTCATGAATTTTTATTGGGGTGAAAAATCTAATAACATAAATGCAAAATTAGATTATTTGAATCATCATAATTTTATTTACACTTATACTACAATTAAAATATTCACTGCTGAACATAGGCCTTCATAATTTGTCTACCACTACCTATACTGGTATAACTTTTGCAGTACTTATGAGTAACTTTTGCAGTACATAGCATAAACGTTTTCAATATCATATGGATTTAACAAATATTATTTTAAACTTCTATTTAAAATGAGTTTATGTAGAGGTTTTTTTGTTTATGTTTATTAATTTGCAATACAAAATGTAGATAGGGCACTGCTGACACTTCCATATATAAGTTTAAAACATCTCATCTACAATTGAGACATTTTCGTCTAAGTAACACTCAAAATTACTTACAGGGGTATTATAATTAGATACTTTAAGATGTAATTTTATATTTTAAATACCGATAATGTAATTTTAATTACTAATGTTATGTACCTAATGATGAAGGTGACTAATTAAGTCGTAAAATAGTATAATTTTATTACGGTACATTACAGCAAAACTTTATATTTTAAAAATACAATCTTTATTGAAACTATAACAAAACAACTTAATAATCAAGATATTCACACAAGTCCACAGCATCATCAGAAATATGCCAAAAGCAGCTCCTGCCAAAAATGCCTCCGATTAGCAGGCATCAAAGGACATAACTTTTTTAAAATATACTCTTTTTTTGTTTTACTTATGCCTCTGCAAAGCGCTGTCGAAATTGTTTCACTTGGGTTATTCAGGTATTTCACGGTTAGAAAATTCAGCTCCTTGTATGGCGAATCATATTCGTATGAATATGACATGTTAAAACTTCCTCTAATAAATTTTACTTTAACAATATTACTAAGGTATGGTCTTGGTGAATGTTTTTTAATTTTCGCCAGTGAAGAGTGATCTTTCCAATCCTTAAAGTCACTAATGTCCATGTTTAGAACCTTTACATTTTTCATTTTAACTTGCTCGATTGCAGATTGGAAGTCATTAAAGTCATAGACTTTTTCGCCAGTTCCATTTAAAGTCGAGCCATATGAATTCAGCGATTGTTCCACATGGTGGTGTAAACTTTCAGCTGACATAAATGAGTGACCTGGCTCGAAATAGTAAATCTGTATGGCATCTGCAGAAATTTCTGGTGAATTAATATTATGTACAAAAAGGGAAAACAAGGCCCAATTTTTATTTTGTCTAGCACAGTTGTCCAGCCAGATATTAACATACGTCGCATCTCGTTGGCTGAGTAAGTACTTATAAAATGTGCTACAAATGTTTTCTTTTTTCCGACCAGCTACCCCCTCATGCCATATAACGGCTGTAGGACCTAAAAGTTTCTGATTTTTTCCCACCGCAACAAAGCTTTCATTAAAAACGACAACTCTTTGCGTAAATAGTACCTAAAAAATATCGTAAGATATCAATGAATAAACATAATAGACATTATTCGCACGGATTAGAAACAAAACTGCCTTAACTGCTACGATGTACGTGTAAAACAGCCAAATGCGCTTGCGCTTTCTTATAAGGCGTTTTTGATTCACACAGTCCGCGACAGCGATGTTGGTTAAGTCTTCTCCTGTGCAAGTTGAGGCGTTTTATTTTAATAATAGTAGATAGGGCAGTCTAGCATCACAAAATGGCCAGTTTTACAGTTAAGGTAAAGTTATTTTAAGGCATAGTTTGAAAACTAAATGACGAAGAGGTGTTTTTGCTTAACGTTTTATGTGCAAAATTGCTTCTTTAATCATATGGTACCAAAATCTCGGTTTTACAAAAAAATGCAGTTAAGGCGTTTTTCGTTAACACGGCAGTATATATGTCTGATATCTAGGATGCTACTGCATTATATTTGACATGAGCTATCCTTTACGCAGCATTAGTAATCCCTTATAATAAATAAATGGATTATATCGTACGGGAAAATAGCCTAGATTGTATCGGAGCTAATATTTTACCACCGCTGTATTTATCCTTTATGAGGAATCCTTTATGATGTCGTTTAGTGGTTTTAGTTACTACGTTAAGTTGAGTGTTGATGTTTTACAACTCTCACATTTGTCAATTTTATTTTATCAAATTTTTTGTATTTCATGGTGTTTCAGTAAAGTTTTCTGGTTCCATACTTAAGGTTACAGCATCTGGAAAGATATGTGCAGAACCATATTGATTTAAAAATATAAGAAAAGCTTGTATTTAGGTATATAAAAATGAGATAATTCCCTTTGCCGGACGATTTTTAGGTTAAGAACCGTATTTATTTACCTAAACTGCAAATTTTCCATATAGTACCACTCCAATTAGCCTACATTGTACCGGTATAATTTTATATACTATTGGCTATTAGGACCTACTTATTTTCAAAAATAAATAAATACATAACTAACACATACCGTTCTTCTGTGTTTTAGATGCCCAAAGGAAATATGGGACTTGGAATGCGGACGACATGAGCCGGGCTCTTTAAACATTTCGTAATGAATACATGGAATTAAGTGAAATCTGCAGGAAGTATGGAGTCCTAAGTCTACCTTGCTCCGTCATCTTAAGGAAACCAATGTCAAAGCAAATAAAGAAACGAAAACTTTTGGCCAAGGCAATGTAATTCACAACAGAAGTGGGAAAGTAGCTAGTTAATCGCATTTTAAAACTGAAGACGTTGATGTTTGGTCTCACGACCAACGATGTTCGACGGCTTGCATTTCAAATCGTCGAGAGAAATTAAATACCACATAATTTTAATAAAGAATTTCAAAGATAGGAAATAAGTGGTTTTATGCTTTTATATCTCGTGATAAGGACATAATCTCACTGAAAGGACCTCAATCAACGTCCACGATATGCGCCAAAAGATTCAATAAACAGAATGTTTACGTCTTTTTCGACCTTCTGGAAAAAATAATTGATGAGAATAATATTGAAGAAACTCTCATATTTATCGTTGACGAAACGGGTGCCAGTACTGGTCAGAATAACTGCCAAAAGGTTCTCGCACAAAAAGGTAAAAGGCAAGTTGTTGGGCCAGTGTATAGTGGAGAATCAACACGACAGTTGTCTGCTTCAGAAATTTACGTTACATCTATTCTTATATTTAAGCGTATGCAAATGAACAATGATTTAAAGTTTGGTGTCTAGCAGGGTGTATGATTGAGGTATCAGAATCAGGCTACATGACTAGCGATATGTTTGTAAAATGGCTCCAACATTTTATTGATTCTGTAAACCCAATAGTAGAAAAAAAAGTTCTATTGGTACTCGATGGGCATACAAAGTACAAGAAGAATATTGTAATAATGCTACAGTTGCCGGGCATATAACTCATTGTATGCAGCCTTTGGATAGATCATTATTTAAGCCTTTCAAAGGCCATTACACTACACTACATACAATCAGTTGAAAAATGGTTTCGTTCTAACCCCAGCTTATGTGTTGCACAACTTCACGTAGCTGGCTTGATTTCTGAAGCTTATAGAAGAGCAACAAGCATAAAAATTGCAGTCAATGGTTTCCGAACTAGTGGAGTATGGCATGTTGATCCGGTGGTCTTCAAAGATAATGATTATTGTGCGGCTGAAAATTTAAATGACCATGATGGCAATGAAACTCGGAAAGAAAGTGAAATCGAAGAGTCTAATGAGACAGACAAGGAACCACTTAGATCTCCAACAAGAGCTAATGTAGAGTACGAAATAATCTGGTCCAAACTACCTAGTCCTAAAGAGAGCTACGACTACTATGCTCACTAGGCTTACTAAAAAAAACTCGTGAAGGAAGTCCAAACTAAATATTTCAATTGATTCAATTTCCCCGATACTGAAGCCTCATCCAAAATCCAAGAAGGAAACAGTACAAAAGGCAATGGTTTTGAGGGCAAGTCCCTATAAAACGAATTCGAATTAGCTAAACAGCTATAGTTAGCGTTGGTACAAATAAAAAAAATAAAAATGAAATTGGGGAAGGTAAAACCGAAATCGTCTAAGAAATTTGTAGGTGCTCCAAAAATAAAACTATAAGGTAAAACTAGTCTTAAAGGGAAAAAATCTGTGAAGAGAAACCTGGCAAAAAATAAATGTAAAAATCTTACAGTCTCTTCGTTTGAATGCCTCGTCAAGCTCAAATCAACCTGACGTTTTAAAAGAGATGTGTGTTAATGGGTGGTTTTGTTCAAATTGCGAGTAAGTACATGATCGAATGCACCAAATGCCGTTTATAGGGCCACGAACTTTGTGCAGGAGTCTAATTTGGAACCCAAACTATTTCTTTCTTTAAACCTATGTGTTTGTTTTCTTTGATAAAGCAATAAACGTTGACTTCAACCATCTTCTTGGTATTACTCCACTTAAATATGTCATTAAATATGTTTGTTGGACGTTAAGTAGCTCCGGTGTTAAATAGTTTTATAAGTTCAGCAGATACTATTTAACTGGGAATAAGCCACAATTAAAGATAAAAATACGTTTATTGGCGTTTCAATTTCCACTTTGGAAATCGTTCTCAAAATGCAAAGAAAGATGCTGAGAAACAAGTACGCGATCCGGAGCTAAAGATTAAGAGACTCAAAGGCAATCTTAAAGGACCCAAGGAAGTAAGTAAAGAACAGTTTATAGGGATATAACAACAATCGACAGTAACGAAACAAAGATTTAGAGAAGCGCAGGATGAGTTAGATGAGCTGAGATTGTTGGTAGATCAGCAGAAGAAGCTAGACGATTACAAAAATAAGTACTTAGAAGCTCAACAGTAAGTAGAAGAACAGAGGAGACAGATAGATCTAATGGAGATATAGAAGCAAAGAACCAGTGAACAAGTTAATCTGAAAATCCACCAGGTAAAAATACAGTTTTCAGAAAAATTCCAAGAATTAGTGCCTTTACCTGACATTTTAAAAGCAACCCAAATCAAACTGCAAGAAGCTCAACAGATGCACCTTTTAGCAGAACGAAACAAGAAAGCGATAGCTAGAGAATTGAAGTTATATAAGGACAAGATTGCAGCCATGACGTCAGAAATAGACGACGTTAAGAGCGATCAACAAATGGGTCAAGATGCAAAATCGATATTGGAAGCTAGAATGAAAGAGCTGGAGGAGCAGTTGGCGGAGTTGCAGTAAGTTAATGCGTCGCTGGTTAATGATTTAGAAAAATTCGCGGAGAAATGTAACGAATATGAAAAACTGGCCGATGAACGTTTGCATGAAATTATACAACTGGAGTCGCAGGTTCAGTCTCTAAGAGAAGAAACTGCAAGGCAGGTGTCGTGGATAAAAGAAAGATGTGAGATTGTTAGAAGATCAATGCAAAAGCAAATCGTTGACTTAGAGCGCCAACTAGCTCAAAGCAGAGCCCAATCCAAAGCAGCTCAAAGCGACAGAGATAAAATCAGGCAAAAGATGCAGTCTCAAATCAACAATCTGAACGAAAACTTCGAAGACGCTCAAATGAGAATTCGGAACCTACAGGGTCACGTTAATTTCCTTAAAAATTCTTACGAAGATACTTTCGGTGTCGGTGAAAAGAGTAATAGGTACAGAAGTACCGATAATAAGGATCCTTGTGATTGCAATCCAATTAATATGATCTCAATTGTATTTTGAGAACGATTTCCGAAGTCGAAATTGAAACGTCAATAAACGTATTTTTATCTTTAATTGTGGCTTATTCCCAGTTAAATAGTAGTTAATTTAAAATGCCACAAGAAAGTAGCTTCAGAACAATATTCAGCAGATACATTATCAGGTCCGGAAGCTTTGCTATATTTTAGTTGTTATGATTTGTAAGTGATCATTACATATTTAGGATGACAGTTATTCGTACCTATTATAATCAAAGAGATTAAAACCTCAATACTCTGGGAGTATTAGATTTTAGGAAGAGTAGAACTTACAATTTTAGAAGAACTGAAAGAGAAGTGATGAAAGAAAATACTAAAAATAGGACTAAGCTCAGAGAAACAAAGTTAAATGGCCAAAGAGACACTAAATCTCAAGTGAGTGTTCGGGATAGCTTCAATGCACTGGATTGTGGATTTAAAGATATAAACAGATAGCAAGGATACTGAGCTAATGAGACAAGAAACGAAATGAGACCTGGTAATATCAAATGTGATACAACTAAAGAAGGTCACCGGAAATAAATTTATAGAAAGAGAACAATAAGAAGAGAAAAGGAAGGGCGCCAACTCAACGATAGTTGAGATTTTGAAGTAACAAATGATCGGAAACAAATGATACTAGAGATAATAACCTGAAATCCAAAATACTAAATATTAATCTTATCTTGCTATATTATATACTGGTTAGTAGAACTGGTGGGTATGTAAAGATACAATAGGACCAAATAGCCTCTCAAGAAGCGAATAGTCACTACCACTGGCCAAATAAAGGGTGAAATATTAGTAAAAACCTAAAATAGTCCATATGGTAGCCAAAGTCTTAACATTAAAAGTTAGTGATTTAATTTAACTTAGTTCTACTAGAATGAGATACAAGTGACATTATGGTAAAAATATCAAAATTGATAAATCTAGTACCATTTAAATTATAGATAAAAAGTGAGTTGTTACATATTCCTTATATAATGTTTTAAAAACCACATGAAATTTATTTCCCTCCCCAATATCAAAATTGTATTATATCAAAAATGTATTCTATTAAAAAAATATATATTAAATCAACAAGTGAGTTTTGTCAGACTCTGTATCCCATTTAAAAACCTAATAAAAACATGTAATGTATTTTTTTCTCCCCAATATCATAGAATTTGATTATCAAAATTGTATTTACCTTATCATATGCATATGAAAAGTTAACAGTAAATAGAAAGTAACACAAAAAGTCAAATAGTTAAACAACTTATCTTCGCAACACTATAAGTCCATAGGAAAACTCCTTTTGGCACGGCTAATTTAATTCATGGTTGTGGTGACAGCAAAATCCATGGATTACATACGCAAGTTGCTAACTATCTAAGGATTCAAAATTACTAACTAATATCCTTGAGGGAATATTTTCAAGTGACGGAATCTAAAAGAGTTATGTAATTTAATAAATGCAATTCAATAGCTGTAGCAGCGTGGATTGACTACACCAAAACAAAACATTAGCAAAGAATATAGGTCTATATTCTTTGACATTAGGTTAGGTCCAAAATTTCCGAAGTTACTTCGTAGACATGAAAATGCGCCATGAAATGAACATGCGCAGAATACAGAAGGCTGTACCACATTTGTAGAACCTTTTATATTCCACCAAAAAAAGTTAGATAAAAAATGAACCAAAAAAACTTAATGATAACGACATGGACCAAAACAGAATTTAAGTTTAACTATATAAAAAATGACCTTCTGTTCTTTGCAAGTAAATCAAGAAATTTTATATTTAAATTATTTCGGAACTCAAAAATAAATCTCTAAAGAAATACTAAACTGCAATGATAAATTTGATTATATGATAAAGAGATACGTATGAAATTATTTACGTATGAAATTATTTACTTACATGGAGCCGCAGCACGCCAAAAAAATCTTCCTTTTATGTGGAACTCTTATGAATGAATATTGGTTTTATTAGAAAAATTACTTATTTATATTATTATTTATGAATTATATATTTTTTATTCTTGTCCTAGATTTTGTTTGCCCCAATTCCGTCACTTTGAACGTGAGAAAAACTCACCGGTTGGCGTGTCTGCGTTTACGAGTTCTGACCAAAACTTACCGCTTCCGCACAGACTCGACCAATCTTCCTGTCAAAGCGACTCCTGCGCGTGTGTGGAAAAATGTCGATTTAAAATCGATCGTAGGCGGGTAATAAGAAATTTCGTGAGGGGTTTTAATTGGACTAGTCAGTAGCGTAAACGCTACAAGATCTTTTATGTATTTGGTCCATATACCAATTTTTTTATTTTTATCTGTGATGGTGTTACCCTATTGATCTCACAGTTTGTTAACTGTATTGGATTTTTGTAGACAAGCTGCTTGTTTAACCATTTTATGCACACTTAACGTATGTTGCAGTATATTGTTATTCATCTAAGTTTTCCTCTTCTCTTTCTTTTCTATTAGATACTCTTCTTTGATCTTATTAAAATTTTCAGATATATTTTAGAGTTAGCTTCTGCTTCATATGTTTACTCCACGCTACTTAGCTTCTCCGGAAGAATCCGTGCAACTGTCTCTTTTATTTTCTTACCTTCTAGTCTTCTTTAATTGTATTTTTGGTTGTTTTTTTTTTTTCGACACCTTCTTTTAGGTACGAATTTTAACTTATATCTAAATTTCCTCATTGACTCGCTACAGAAATTTTCTCAATGCGACGCTGTCCTTGCTCTCTGGATATTTGGATTATTTTCATTTTTTTGTCGACACGCACCAACGAATATGAACACTTGGAAATTTCTTGGTTTTTATTATGAAAAATCGTCGAAATCTGGATGTTGGTATGAGCGGAACGGTGGCCGTCTGCGATGTAACTTTTGATTTTAAAGTTACGGGACGAACGCGACCGGGGGAGAAAGCAAATAAATAAGTTTTTTCTTGTAAAACGCCTTTTGTTAGCAACACAAAACGAAAGTCAAGGTTTAAAAGAACGTTGGGGTTAGCAGACGGGAAAACTAAATATTATGGGATTATTACTAAGTACACAGCACATATTTAGAACCTTCTGATTTTCAAATAGAATTATTGGGACTTAAAGACATTTGTGGCTTCATCTTTATGCTTTAGTACTTTAAAAACTAAATATATTAAATGACATTTCGTTTGTGGATGTTAATATATATGAGTCAGCTTTTATATCATCATCACTAGCCATTTTGAGTTCACTGATGGTGAACGTAGACCTTGTAACAATAAAATACTGAAAACTTTGTTTTCAAACTTCCACAAAATTTATTTTAACTATTATCACTACAGCTGTTTCGGCTGATAGCCTTTCTCAAGTGATCTATTTTTGGCTTGGGTTTACAAATTTATAGTCTCTAATGAAATAGGTTGAGGAGGGGAGAACTGTTTGTCTCAAGTTGGTCATTCAGAATTATATCTGTGTTTTTTAATTTGTTGATTTCCATAGATTCTAACAAAGATAGCTTAAGACCTTTATTTTGAATGTGAAGAATTTTAAATTTGTCATTAAAAGAATGATTATGATCTAGAAGGTGAAGTGCGTATGTCGAATCTGTTTTTCTATTCTTGAAAGCCCTTTTATGTTCTGCTATTCGTTTCTCAAAGTTTCTACCAGTTTGACCGATGTAAGTTTTTGGGCAGTCGCCACATTGAAGTTTATACACACCACCATTTAAGTGTTTTTTATTTTGGCTCTTGTTATTTTTAATATATTTACCTAGGTTGTTATTTGTTCAGAAAGCTGGTGTTATTCCTTTCTTTTTTATGTGTTTGGCAATTTTTGTTGTTATTTTGCCTGTATATGTAATCGAGCAGAAGGTACTGGGTTTTTTCTCTGGTGGTGGAAATACTATTTTCAGGGCTTTCTTGTGTAGTTTTTGATTTAACATTTTATTAATTAATTGTTTGTTCGTTGTATCCGTTGTTTACTGCTATTTGCTTAATTATATTTAATTCTGTCTCAAAGTTGTCTTTTGACATCGGAATTTCTGTTAATCTATGTAACATACTATGATAAGCTGCCAGTTTATGTTGTGTTGGATGGGATGATGAGTTGTGTATAGTCGTGTCAGTATGGGTAGGTTTGTGAAATATGGAGAAGTCATGTTTGTTTTGAAGTCTGCTAATTTTTAAATCTAAAAAATGTATGCATTGATTTTGTTCTGTTTCTATTGTAAATTCAATATGACTATGAAGTGAATTAATATACGATGAAAATTGGTCGAGTTGCCTGTTAGTTCCTGTGAAACATACCAGTACGTCGTCTACGTATCTCCACCAATATAAAAACTGTTTGAATACGGGATGTTTTGAAATCTTTGTCTCTAGATGATCCATAAAAATATCTGATAGCAATGGGCTTAGAGGATTACCCATTATAAGTCCTGCACTGTTATTAGTATATATTTTATTATTAAATTCAAAGTAGTCCTGATTTATGCAAACTTCAAGAAGATGTAATATTTCAGATGTAATTACTGGATTTG